AACCGGAGGAAGACTCGGTTCAAGGAATGCTTTTTGCGAGGATCAGGAAATGGAATTAGAAGGCTCCAACGTGGAGATTCTGCTTACGCATATCTCGAGTTCTATAAACATGGAGAAGGAGAAAGAAGAACCGAACAGGAGGCAAAAAGCAGCTTGGGCCGCCTTCGGATCACTAAAAGAAGCCACAGCCGGTTGACGGACCCAGAGCTGCAGGCCCACCTATTCGATTCAACCGTCTCCCAGCGTTCTGTTATGCAGCAGAGACGCCGCCTGACACTTTGGCTAGTCGAGGGCACTCCGAACAACACACAGAGCGCTGAGCGACGTCTTCTGAAGCAACGCACTAAACATCTCTTTGAACTTGCAGTTAAGATATGAGATTAATTTCTCGTCTTCGCGTCCAGGGGAATGCGTCTATAAGGCAAAATCAATGGGCTGGTCATATGATGAGAAAGACAGACGACAGATGGGCACTAAGAACTCTGGAATGGATCGCTTGCGAAGCAAAACGTCTTTGAGGGAAACCAATCAGATGGGCTGACGTGTTCGTTGCAAGGATGGACCAGTTGAAATCTCAGCTAGTAATGACGAATCTGGACCTCGCGAACATCGTTGTCGCAATTCAATACCAACATCGCGGATGACGCTAATGATAGACAGAAACAGATGGAAGCAATGCTTGGCCTGCACGACAAGTGAAGATAGGCCGTCTAAGCATCTAGGTAAGCACCTCTTATCTTGCATATCAAGCTTACCTGATCAACAAAAGGTGCATGCTCTGAGTAGGCGTACACTTGGTAGTCAGAATATCTGGCAGCGATTTCACGCCATTCCCTCACCGCTGGGATTAGTTCGTGGAATTTGATATGCTATAAAGAAACAATTTATTTACATTTGATCCGAGAAAACACACTAAAATTACCTCGTGAAAATTTGTCATGAAGAAGAATGACGTTATACATAAAGGGTTATTTTCCACGCATGCAGTTTCATTGTATTTTACAAAAGATGAAAGATAGAAATAGGTGGCTGATTTGAAAAATGTCGGCATTTCTTCATAGGTAAAGTCTTCTGTTTCACCATAAAACTGGAAATTTTATTATCTGCTAAATATCAAGCTCTAACCAATTTACATACGTTCAAAAACTCCTCGTAAGCTTGTATCCAGAAGAAAGTGCTTTCTGGTCCATAGCTGTATAAGGCATTCTCATAATCTTTCACAATTTGCTTTATAGCTGCAAAGATTTTATTTTCCACTAATATTTCTAAAATTGAGATCTTCTCATACTTCCAAGCCTTTGCGGATCTCGCAAATCTCCTGGATTTAGCACAAAAACACTTATTGGTTGCATATTTTTCAACGAGGCTTCGTAGGTATGCTGGAATGTTTGCAGATACGAATCCGGAAGAGCCATCTTTTCCACAGAAATCAATGTTTGTAGTTGCGATATCCCAACAGCACTAGCGTAATAGTAACCACACATACATATGGCGAGAATTATTCTGAAAAATGGTAAAGGCATGGATGAGGAAAATCATAATGGAAAAGTATAAGAGTAAATTTTCCTTGTAAAGTACTATTACAATCTGTCAAAGAATATCTTATGCGATTTCCATATTGACAATTTAGTTCAAGAAGTTTTAAGAAGTTAAAGAAAAGTTCACAACCTGATTGATTTTTTCTTGATTTTTGAAGAATACCTTTTTTATTTAATGCAATTGGTTCCAGGTGCATTCCATAACTTCTATGCTTTCACAATTTTGAAGTATCTGCTAAGCCATGTATGGTGCATGAAGCTGTTCTTCTATTTTTAAAAGGTTTGATTAGGCTTAGTACAACTCACTTTCTATTTTGGAATCGCGTGTGAGATGGAATGATACTTTGAACATTCTTACATCTAGACTTATAAATTCCCGTGGACTTTCAGACTTCAACTTTAACCAATACAAATTCTCAAAACTGGTATAATCAGTCAACGAATAATGTATTGTCCATCATTACGTAAAACTT